CAAAACCCAATCACTCTCCACTTTAGCCCATTAAATAGCAAATTGCCATGTCTTTTTGTTGAAAATGCCATGATAATATATGATAATATCTAGAGTTCTCATCACCTTCATAAGCTATGTCAAGAGTCTCTTTTTTGTTGAATATCCTGCAATTTCTTCCACATATTTCTCCGGTCCATCACAACTTCCAGTCCTTTTCAACATCGTTCAATTGGCATAAGAATTCTTTTTTAATCCTTTATTGAGTAGGTTTATTATCCTTTTAATACCATTTTGTTGTGTAGATTATTTTAAATGTTTTATGTTCATGTCATGATGCTATACGCGTGCTTTACTTTATAAAAATGAGATTATGGTTTTAATTTGGCTGAATTGCAAGTGTTACAACTTTATGTCGTGAATGATAACCAACAAGTTTACGACCAAAAATTAACCAATCATTGGTCAATATACTGACATGTTTACGACCAACAAGCAAGTAGATAATGTTAGGAAAGCCATAAACCCAATATGTGTTTATGTGTTAAACCATGATCACCCACACAATATCCAATTATGATCTAGTAAATGTTTTTAATATGTTGTTTGCTTACAACATTTTTAATCAAGAAAGGCACGTTGTTTAGTATATGTTGTGATATGATAGTTGTTTAAAGTATTTTTGTATGCAAGTTATTATGTTTTACAAAATACACGTGTTATGACTTTGGATATAGTCTTAATTTTTCTATAAATTGAAACCCGTATACTCCTCAAAATTTTAATGTATTGTAAGTGTTAGTCGGCTTGAAAGGTGTTGTTGAACAATAGATTATTCATAAACTTTTAATGTATTGTTAGTTGGCTTGAATTTCTACAAGTTAAGACCTGTGTTGTTAAAATTTTGATTTATTGTTAAGTTACCGACTTTTGTTTTTCTCATGATGGATGCATGAGTCGGATATTTCATCATTATGTATATGATTTTAAGTTTTAACATTAGATTATTCATAAGTTGTTGGTTAGTTGTCACGTCTCTAATTTTAGGTTGTGGCCTAAATTGAAAAATAAGGTGTTACACGATCGAAGTGTGGTGATGAGAGGGCAAGGTACATGTGTGAATGTTGGATGGTTGTTGTTGTTGTTGTTTTTTTTTTTTTTTCAATTATATAGAACTAATCGTGAGATTCGTATATTATAAAACAAAATGTTAAATACGAAAGAATAACGGGAAGTTTATTTGAATTTAAAAATAAATGAAAACTAAGAGAAAAAAATTAAAAAATTAAAAATTAACATGCAAAAAATAAATAAATTAAAATTAGGTGTTTAGTTACTAAACAAGTTAATTATAACAAAATGTTAAATACGAATGTTTAACATGTAATTTATTAGTAATTTAAATTTAAAATTTAAAATTAATATAATCATTATGGTATATTTAATTTATGGAAACAACTTAATGATATATTTGGAAAATAAAAAATATAAGTAGAAAATAAATATCTCAAAATTATGACAAAATAACATATGTCTAATTGAATGAGACAATGTCATGTAGCAGAATAAATTTTTATTTATTAGTGTAGACTCGGTTAATTATAATAATTTTAATTTTTATTGTTTAATTATTATATTTTTTAAAAATTATTTAATTTTAAAAGAAATTTTCTTCTATGATTATTATGATATTTTTTTTTAGTTTATCATATATTGAAATTGACATGACTTCTTATTAAATTACATTTAGTTATATGCATTTTTTAAAAAGATGAGTACCATAGTTTAAATTGTACATATATCTAGTAACTTATGTTTATATTTGATCACATTTGGTTTTTTGTTTTGTGTACAAAATAAAAAAATATAAGTGATTAAAGGTGTATAAAAAATTCATAAATGATTAAATATGTAAAAAGATAAACATAAATGGCTAAATATATACGCTAATTAAACTATGTTACCATTTTAAAGGGTTATTTAAAAAAAAATAATAATAACATTTAACTTTATAAGACTATTCTCATTTATCTAAATGCTATGTGTACAATGTGCTATACCAACAAATAAGAAGCTATTTTATGAAACAAAATGTTATTTTTGTAAAGACATAGAGTACATATGATATGATGCATATAGGTAAATGATAAACCATATTAATCTTAAAGCATGCTAGACTAGAAATAAGGCAATGGTCTTAGTGGGAATTTCTTTAAAAATAGATGATTTTCGTTTATTAAAATAGAATAAAATGGTTAAGACAAAAAAAAATACAAAAACAATGGATTCTTTTTATATTGTGCTTTGTTTTTATAACTTGTATGGTACACATTATGTTTTATTAAATATAAATTTCAATTTAAGATTGAGTTTTAATTTAAAAATCTAGGCAAAAGATGTCAGATCAGTTTTTCTTGCATATGAAAGAAACGATATTAATTTAAATTTTTAATAACCTACTTGAAGCTTTTAGCAAACTTTGGTGGCATCATGTATATTCTAACTATCTTTCTACACAAACCAAGTCACAAGCCTCAATTAAATTACATATTAATCGAGCATTGTGTTTTTTTAGCATAGACGAAAATACACAATCTATTTAAACCAATCTTAGAATTTACATTTAATAGTAGTCTTGTTCTTTTTTGTTTAATCAATGAACAATTTTTTTTAATGATTTTTGAATTTGCTTTTTATTTTAAAATTATAAAATGTATAAGATGTATTATATGTGGATATGTACACGAAGGAATTAATATTCTTCATAATACCAATTATTTTAAATATTTATTAAGTTTTTAATACAAAGTTTATACATCCAAAGTCTTTAAAAATTGGTTTAGTGTTAGATCTAATGCTAATATGTTTGTAGCAACCTATCATGGTAATAATATTCTTAGAGAAAATGTTATTGTAGCACATCAAAGTTTTGTCAATTATCCGATTTGGTCACTGAAACAGTTATCAGAGTACAATCTCAAAAATCATTTTTAGTTCAGCCAGGAACACCAATTATCATTTTCAACCATTCAAAAATATATTATAATAAAAACAGTTATCAGAGTACAATCTCAAAAGTCATATCGTTGCGGAACCATGAGTGGATGCATTGCGGTCAACTCGGTCCCTTCATTTTCGAACCAAAAGTACCTGAAACCATAACCATAAAATCATAAGCACAAAGCTTAGTGAGTTCCTCAAAGTACCACATACCAAAACATATAAGTGTCATGGGCTACCCGCATGATCTTTCCTTGCAATCTCGATGACCAAATCCCGGTCTTACATACAAGTGTCGTGGGCTGCCCTCATGGTTTTTACTTGCAATTCTGAAGGTCAAATACCGGTCTTATATACAAGTGTTATGGGTTACCCCCATGGTCTTTCCTTGCAATGCCGATGGCCAAATCTAAGTCTTACATACAAGTGTCAGGGGTCATATCTTGATCTTTCATACAAATGTCAGGGGTCAGATTCTGCTCTTTCATGAAAGTATCACAGAGACAACTAGCATTCTACATAACAAAGTAATGGGCTGGCATTAATGCCTTATAGTCAAAAACACAAAATCAACACATTTGAATGATTGGTTTCCGATTTGGGATTTGGTCATTCCGACTGCCGGCCTAAATATCATTCGACGAAACTAGAATCGTCGCCTCAAACCAACCCCCAACCCCAACTCTACGATCTCCCAGTAACTTCCACCTTCGCGACCACTAACCCTTTCTGGCTACTTAACCTCCTCTACCATTAACCCTTGAATTCAAGTTCTTCGGCTTGGATCTCGTTAGTGAGACGGTATCGGAGGAGCATGATCTTGCTTGAGGTTGCAGAGGTTGATGGCGGATGTACATATCCTCCTAGCCACCAAATCAATATGTATTCTTCGTTTTCTTGTTTTGATAGATCTATGTAATCAATATATTACAAATCAACTATTGTTTTTAATTGAGGAGCCACTAAAATTGATTTCATTTTCATGAATATCGTTTTTGTTATGTGTGTAAAAACAATAACACTGAAGGTGGTGGTTTCTTTAAATTTTAAAAAGTTAAAAATATATTGTTATTTATCTAAATGAATTGTATGATGTAGCTCACAAAAAATAAATATAAACTAATTATAAATGTTACATCAACATTATATCAAGGTAGCTTGCTAAATTCAAGCAAAGTGGTTTCATTAATAGGTAAAAAACGAGCTTAACAGTTCATTGGGCAAAAAAAAAAAAAAAAATTAGTGACCCAATCAACAGGGCTGGTCCTGAAAAATGAAATATTCTTAAAGGTCCAGAACGAACAAGAAAAAAAGGGCCCTTATCTTTATTATAATTTTGTATTTCTAAATAAAAGTATATAATGAAAAAAATTGAGTCCTGTGCAGCTGCCCACTTTGCCCCTCCTCTAAACCCCCCATGCCAATCAATTATAATTTACGAAACTTTGATGTGCTACACGAACATTTTCCAATATTCTTAAACTTATTAAAAATTATACTAGTCTTTTTTTTTTTTTTACAGATCTTCACCACAATCACCACTTTTTATAACCAAAATGATCATGAAGTTAAAATTTTGCAGATTTGGAACTTTTGAACTTTTTTTTGTATATGTTTTTTTTACCTATAATTTTTCATCATCATTCTATTTATTTATTTTGTTTCTAAATCTTCATTTTGTATTGAATAAGATATGTTTTTTCTTCTCTCTACTATCTATTATATAATTGTTTCAATAGCTATCTAACATTAAAAAAAAAAGTTCGAAACTCATGAACAAGTTTGAATCTTAACCTAAATACATTAAAAAAAAAAAAAAAAAAAAAAGTTCGAAACTCAATTCACGTATATGAAAAATAAGTTTGAAACTAATAATGGAGTTCGAAAATCCTGGATCTTATCAGAAAAATGAATTTTAGGACACACTTTTCGAAATTTGTAAAATTTTCAAATTCCATGGCCAGTTTCGTATTATTTATTTTCAAAATAAGGACATTTTGCGATTGAAAAGTGGTTATTAGGGTGAATATCCCTTTTTTGGAGGGGTGTTTGGGTAATAATCGTACGAGGGGTTTGAACGCAATTTCGTATACAGTTGAGAACACAAACGACAACTTTTCAGTTAGACGACTATGCTCTTCTCATCGAAGAACCCCAATTTTCCCTCCCCTTTGCCCCTTTTACTTGTCCCCATCTCTTTCTCCTGATTCCGCAGTGTTTCAATGGAAGATCAAGCCGAAGTAATCTCTTAATCTCACAATGTTAATCTCCACTTTTCGAATGCACACACATTACGCACAGTTTTACATATGCTGTATATATATATATTATATATATATATATATATATATATATATATATATGTATCTCCATCTCTCTGTAATTTAATTGTTATCAATAGAACTTGATTTCTGGTTTCATTTTATTTAATTTTTTCCTAGAAAATGGAGGCTTTGAAGAAGGCTTACGCGGAGATCATACTGAATACAGCGAAAGAGGCAGCTGCTCGAACAATGGCGTCGGAGTGTAAAGCACTTCGCTTTCATCACGATCTGCGTCACACTAAAGACGAGGCGCTTCGGATGCTTCTTCGATTCAAACACATGATCGACTCCAAGGTATCGCTTTCTATACCCTGGTTTAAATTTCAGAGCTTCGAAGTCAAATTTCTTGTTTATGAATTATGATTTATCCTTAGACTTTTAATCATGACTATGATTGTATGATTTTTACTAAACGATAACCTTATTAAATCTAAAAATTGAATGATTTTCTGTGTTTTCTAGTAGAAAACTCTCTGTGATTGTATCTTCTAAATATTAGGGTGCAGGAGTTGCTTCACATAGATGCTTTAAGTATGGCTAGTCGTCCATTTCTGAAGTGGAGTACAAAATGTTGTGCTTGTTTCAAGAAATATCAAGAATTCTTCAATTGTTAAATTGTTATCATCACAGTGGATCTCTTGTGCTTGTTTCAAAATGTTGAAACAACATGCCTAGAACTTGCAAACACTTATGTTATTTCCTCAATATTTCTTACATCTTCAATAAAAATGGAATTTATTTCCTTGATACAGACAACTGAAGCAGAAAAGTCATCTGTGAGTCAGAAAAAAAGAATTGATGAGCTGGATGCCCAACTTAATGAAACAGAAGAGGCGATAGTGAATCTTAGAGCAGAACTAAGGAATGCACATGAACGATTAGAGGAAGCAAAAAACAGTCACATCCATCAGTCAAATGAACCATCTGAAAACAACCACATGGATAATTCCGAAACTACCCCTCCTAAAAACAACCCAAACATCAATGAGAAGTTATATCGAAATGGATACACTCACAGAATTCAAGCCATTGAGAATAATGTAGTGGATGAAAAATGCATTTCTTATGATGATGATGATGATGATAAATCTGTACACGAAATCTGCAGAAAAAAAGATGAAATATTGACAGAAAATAGTCTTCGTAGAAGCATCCGGAAAAGGAAAGTCAGGTGTTGGGATGAAATTTCTTCATTGTTCAAGTCACGTTGCAAGAAGTACTCAAACAATGATGATGTGAAGTCTGATGAACATTCGCACAAATCCAAATCATTGGCTGAAATGAATCACATATCAGCATCTACAATTCCAAATGCTTCTCAAGATGAAGTTGTTGGATTAGATTCTATTTTATCTGGTTGTGGTAATGACAAAAACAGGCATCTCAAGTATACATTCAGCAGGAAGCGAAAGAAGGATTTATCATGTAACAAAAAGTCGAATTTAAAGGAAGAGGCATCTACTGATAACAACATGGTTGAGGTTGAGGTTGCCTGTCAGGTTAGTTTCCTTTTTTTATCAACATTATTATATTTACATAATAATAGTTGCTATAAATAGCAACTTATTTTCGTTGATTTCTTTATACTAGCATCCTACTTTCATTTCTTCCTTTTACAAGTTTACAATATAACATTTGATGCATTGTTTGTTTCTATGCAGTTAATTTCCTTGTCTGGGGCACATAGTTTGTGAAGAAGGTCAATGCTTTAAAATGCAGTCAAATCCAGTGCTTACTTTTTAAATGCCTCATTTTTAAGTAATTAATGTATTAAATATAAAGAGTAAATTACAACTTTGGCCCCTGTCGTATAATGGTTGTTTCGGATTTGCTCCAAAAAATAAATCTTTGTTGATATGGTTTACTCTCGTAATCATATCAGTTACATGGTTTTAGACTTTTAGTTTAATTTTACTCAAATGTGTAACAAAATGATGAATTCTGGACAATAGTATAAGTCGTAGGAACTATTTGATCAAGAAACTGTCGGGAGAATTGCTAAATGCTAATTATTTGTGTTGGATAATTTAGTTAATAATAGACATAGATGATTATTAGATATGGTGATGAAAATATAATAATGCATATGATATGACATTTTTTTTAATGTATATAAATGGAAAATATATGGAAATATGACGGTGTGTATTTATGTGATATTACTGTTTATGTTTGGATATGAAGTTGAGAGGATAATGAAAGCAAAGGGATGTGGGTCCTTGTCCTTTTCAATCTATATCCAGTGATAGCGAATGTGTAGCAAGAGGAGGAGATGAGATTTGATATAGAGAGGATATTCGTTTATAGTAATTAAACTCTTAAAAACTTTAAGAGGAGAGACATGATGGTTAATCGCTATTAAAACTTATTTATTATGCCAAATCAATAGAAAAAAAAATTATTAGAAAAAAACCTTTTATAATGCATGAAGTTTTTTGGAAGATTTTTTTAGTAGTTAAACATTTATTCTCGTCTATTTGAAATGTTTTTTAAAACCTCTTTCTATAACTTTTTTGTTTATTTAAGTTCACATCATATGTTATATTGGTGTTTATTGTCGATTATGTAGTTAAAAAATAAAAAACTATAAAAATGTTATAGTTTTAATTTGAATATTTAACGAATTAAATTAATTAGTAAAAAAGAAGGAAGTTATAAATATAGAGGGGATAAAATAGAAATGCTATGAAGACATGGCGGTAAAAAGTAATGCTGCGACAGATTGATAAATAGTATTAAAAAAACAAAACTATATATTCCAACGATATTGAGTGGTTTATCTAAAAGTTATTTTGTATTTTGTCAATTATGACTGCTTATTATTTATAATTTTCTTTTCTCAAAAAGCCTCTTCAAAAGTTTATTAAATTCACCTAGAATTTTTTTTATAAAGTTACTTTAATGTGAAATCAATTTTTCAATTGACATTAGATATTGGAATTGAATCTTCGATGAAAATTAAAAATATTAATTCCAAAGTCTTTCATTCTTTCTAAAGTCTATTAATATTTTTCTTCTATATTAGTTTTACTCATGTCTCAGAATAAATTAAGGGTACATTAGGCTTTTTTTTTTTTTTTTTTTTTTACTAATTAAATTTGGTTCCTCTGGTTAACTGTTAGGTGCAATTTGTGCATCTTTTTGCACACCTTTTAAGTCTCATTTCATGCATTTATTTAACATATTTGTTCTTCATTTACTTTGCATTTCATCATATTTCATTTTAGTCTCTAGAACAACTTTATTTGCACACTTTCATGTCTTTTTCAGGTAAACTGGAGTTCGGAATGCACTTTGGGAGGTGCCGGGAAGCATTGGTGAAGATTTTGGGATGATCTGGCGAAGAACAAAAAAGTTAGAAAAATCATGTTTGGATTCAGAGTCACAGGGGTACACGGGCCGTGTTGGATTTACAGTGCAAAATCAACACGGGCCGTGTTGACCAACATGGGGCTATTGACCATGCTGAACATGGGCCTTATCAGTTTAGTGCAAATCAACACGGGCTATGTTAGCTGCTGAACATGGTCCGTGTCAGTTTATCCTATTTTAACACGGGTCGCGTTCGACCCAAAAACCAACTTTTAACAGCTTTTCCTATCTTTCATATCACGGATTGAGGGCCATTTTTACAGACACACAAAATATCAGAGCACATTTTGAGATGGGATTTCGAAGGTTTTTGCAAGGGTTTGATCAGTAATCATTTGGAAACATTATTTCTAGTATTTATAAGTTGCAATTGCACTTTAATTCCATCTTTTATTCTTGTGATCTTGTTCTAGCCATGTGTGGCTAGAACTTTAGTTTCTCCAATTTCATGTTTTGACTTCTTGGTAGTGACTTCAATCATATGCCATGATGTTTGTTTTCAATTTCTATATAATGAATTTGATTTTGCTACAATCAAATGTTTGATTCTAATTGTGATTCTTATTGGCCATTTGAATTAGGGTTAGGTCATTCAAGTTATCTCTTTTACAAAATCCGTAATTGTTTTGTGAAATTGAACAAGTAACAAACATTAAATTAATCTCTATTGAATGAATTTAGTGTAAATCTTATTCATACACTTTTACACTTCCGAGCTTGTGAGGAGTATTGGGTGTTGTTGGGAACATTCACATAAAGCTTCATGCAATCTTTTAATCTAATTCTAAGAGCTTGTTTAGATTAGGTTAGTAAGGTTAGGGTTAATCAAAGAGTTTGTTTTGGTTAATTAATGTGGTAAATGGAAAGTGTTAGAGCTTATTAACACTTTCAAGTACCAACTTAGATAGGGCTGAACGAATATTGTGTCATCTTTGAGTCACATTGCTAAGTTGTCATACACAAAGTTGGAGTCCTTACAAAATCTGAATTTAATTCACTCATTTAGCTGACTACGTGTGTTTTTAATTGTTTGTTTAGTCATTGCACTCTAAACCCCCCCCTTTTCACTGTTGGTGACCATAGTACCTTGCGCAAAGAGGTATAGACTAATTATCCCGTGTCTCAGTGGATCGACGTCACTTGCCGTGTACTACCTTTTAGTGCATTATAGTGGGATTATTTTAGAGTATATCGTACCCCTTTATTTGTTGGGTTTGATACGCCTAACAAATTGGCGATGTTGCCGGGGACACGGTGTTACTAATTGTTTATGCCAAGATTTTTGTGAGCAGGTATATCTCTATAAAAAAAACATAAAAAAAAAAACGAAACAAAAAGTGTCGCTCAAAAATGAATACTCCTTACATTGAAGACCAACTTTCTGAGCTAGCTCAGTTAGTTATGATGATTGGAAATGACCAAAGTACGCAACCTACACCTATTCCTTGTGATTTTTGCACTCAAAATGGACATCATTCCAACATGTGTCCATATTTACAAGGGGAATGGGAGGAAGTGCATGAAATGGGAAGCTACTACTAGCCAAACCAATGGAGTTATGATCAACCTCAACATGATTAATGGTGGGAAAACAACCAAGCTTGGGGAAACAACCAATACCAAAACCCATACCAAGTTTGGGGAAATGATCAATACCAACTAACTCCACAGTTCCAACAACCATATTCTCCACCTCCCCAACAACCTGAAACGTCGAGCATGCCCTTGGAAGACATTGTCAAAAGCATTGCCACTACTACCCAGATCTTCCAAGATTAACAAAAAAATATAGATAAAATCCACGATCTTTTGAACTTGTATTGATGGTTCAAAATCAGATCTTTTTTCTTGTTATGGTCTTGTCAAATATAAAAAGTCCGTTTGTCCTTCTAATTTATTTTTAACATTATTTTTATGTTTTCTTAATAATAATAATAATAATAAAAGAATCCCACCCACCTTACTCCACCACACCCAAATCAACCCCACTGTCTCTGTCTCTCTCTGTATCTCACAAGACCACAAAATTTCACCCATCCATCTTCTTCCTCGTCCCTTCTCTCCATTGACAAATAACAAAACCTTCTCTCCATTGACAAATAACAGAACAACCACCCTTTTAATCCCCATTCCAGGTTCCAGATCCCAGAACAAGCTTCTTCCCAATTATATCCAAGATAAAGAAAAATCAAAGAAAGATAATAACTCGCTTATGATATAGAGGTTGCAATTAGAAAGAAGAAAATAGATATGGAGTTCAATGGCGGCTAGGTCACAATGGGAAGAAGAAAGAAAAAAAGGTCGATGGTTTCTGGGAGTTTGACAACTCAAAACCCCCGATCTCCCTCGTTGTTGTCGCTTCTTGGTCTCTCTTATTGCACATAAAATTAAGAGTAAATTACTGAAATCGTCCCTATGGTTTGGTTAAAATTGCACAATTTGTCCCTAACTTTTCTTTTGCACTCGGATCGTCCCTGTGGTTTGATTTTGTTGCATTTTTCGTCCCCGTGGTTTGATTTTGTTGCGTTTTTTTGTCCCTTACATACATAAAGTTAGGGACCAAACATGCAATTTTGACCAAACCATAGGGATGAAAAATGCAACAAAATCAAACCACAGGGACGATTCAAGTGCAAAAATAAAAGTTAGGGACCAAATATGCAATTTTAAACAAACCACAGGGACGATTTCAGTAATTTACTCTAAAATTAAATTGTAGGTTTGATTTACAGGTTTCATCTTCATTTCACCGGTGTTTGCATCTTACTGGAAATCAAACATAATTAGGGTTAAATTCATCGTTGTATACCTCTTCTTTATGGGATCAATCTCAGAAATCACACCAATTTTGGAAATCCCACCGAACCTACATTGATGGAGGCGATTGTGTGTGTGTTTATCATCTGAAATTTCAAATAAGTGTATATGTTTCTATGATTGTCTGTTGAACTCACTCTCCTTTGTTTGTGGTTTTGCAATGAACCAGATGAACTTACGAGGAAACCTCAACCATCAAGCACCAGCCTCGAAGAAGGAACTCCAATGAGAGACTTCTCTTTCTTTGGAATATTCTTTATTAGGTACATTTAATACATTTTATTATTGGGTTCAAGGGGTTTCAATCTTTGGGTTTGTAAACCTAGTTGAAGAAGAAAAACATGGGTTTCTATGGTGTGATTCTGATTTTGTTCACCAATCTAGGGATATTTAGAGAAGACAATGTATAGAAGGAGGTGTGTGCGTTGTAATGACCCAAAAACAGTAATAAGTTTTTTTTTGTTTTAAAAACCATTAAATTCACACATCAGGTATCACAAAGTTAACCACGAAATAAAATGTCAACAAAACATCAGAGTACAGATGAAAACAAGTGCGAAATCATGAGGGGGATGTTATGCCATCACGTCGTTCTCTTCCCTTTCGTACCAGAAGTACCTGAAACCAAAAACATAAATTGTAAGCATAAAGCTTAGCGAGTTTCCTAAAGTACCACATACCAAACATACAACTGAGCCTAGCCCTGGGGTATAATCTAACCCAACATACAATTATGGGTCCAACTCTAGGGTTTCTTTCAACCCATCATATACTCATGGGCCCAGTCTTAGGTTTTATTTCAACCTGATCAACAATAATGGGCCCAACCCTGAGTTTTATTTCAACCCAATCATACAAACAAGCAAGAGTCGCAAATATAGTTAACATCCTATATACATAGTTTAGTGGGTTGGCATTGGTGCCTTCGACCTACAAGTACAATGGGAAGACTCACCTCAAACTGAAAATAACCAAATCACACACTTGAGCTGCTGCTATTATG